TCACGTTTTCATGAGAAAAGGCTTTAATAATGACAAAATTCAAGTGCTACGGAAGATGAAAAGCCCCATGCTTTTCTGCACTGGAGAGTGAAGCCTTTAGAACAACAATGTGGTTAAAAAGGAGGAGGAGAAAGGGAAGCGGAGGCGTCAATTACAATTAGAGATTTCCTGACAGGGCCTATGCTAAACGAGTTATAGAGGCAATTACCCTAAAAATTTTGAAGCGGCCATTTGCTCAGTAACCTACACCGACCTGACACACAAGCAAAGATTGCCATAAGCAGGGAATTTATGGTGGTAGAATGCTGCTTTAGCATAAATTACCTCAGGGAACAGATTTAAACCAGTTGCGTTTTTAAAAATTATGCAACAACAACAACAAAATGAGTTTATGCAAACTCAATACCAATTGCAGAATGGGGCCCTCTAAGTCTTTATCTCCAAAGATGCTGCACTCCTTGTTGCCTGTTTGTTTTCTCTCTCTGGATGAAGATTCACAGCATTAATACCTAATAACTGTATCTCACTCCATTACAGGTAGTTCAAGGCCGCTCGGCATAAACTATATGCATGGCTTTGTATCTTCATCTTTAAAACCACCAAATATCTTGGTCGCAGACATATGTTAGGTTTAATGCATCCCCTGCTGTAAAAGTGTTGCTTAAGACTAATGAACAAACAAATGTTTGCTTAAACCTCTTTGTGAAAATCAAACAAGCTTTCAACAGCTATTCATGTATTTATTGTCAGACGTGAATCATCACTTAGGTGGTTTGCCCTGAACTATTACCAGTTAATGCTCATAGTTTCATGGTACTAATTCACTTGCTGTGGTTTTTGTTTTTTGTTGCGTTGTTTTTCCCTCGCTTCTTTCTATCAGTACCATCTCCAGAAAGGCACTGTATGAAAAGTCCCATATTGTTTCCAGCAGAATGGACACATTTGTGCCTAGCTTAGCAACACCATTGTCTATGGAAGGGCCACAGCCTTCAGGGACTCTCCTGCCAGTGCTGTATTTCACCTGCACCCGCCTGCCTTGGTTTCTGCACTGAGACCCTCTTAAGCAAGTGAGCACAAGCAAGACACTCGCCCTGTCTCTGCCCCTACCCCTCCTCACAAAGTAGCTGTTTTTACAGACTCAGCAGCACCTGAAAAGCTCCCACAAGATTTGCCCATTATATTAAATAACAGGTTTTAGAAGCTGGGAACTGTTATTCTAGTGTTGCTGGGTGTCATTAAGGTTGCACGTCTATGCTTGTTTAATTTTTCTTCTGCCATTAAGCAAACTAAATGCTCGGAGGTTTTTTTCTGTCTCAGTGGGGTCCACCCAGAATAGAAAAGAGAATAAGTGTTCCAGGGTTGTGTAACTGGGTTTTTTTGCAGCTTTCATTATGAGGAAGGAATTAAAAATCCCTCCTAGTCAGTACTTAAAATATCAAAGTCATTGTTTAATGCCTTTGAGTCACTGTACAACTAATTCAATTGCACAGTGCAGTGCCGTTTCACGGTGTGTGAAACACAGATAGTACAAAGAAGTGATTGCAAAGTTGAATAAACACCAAATTAGTTTTCAAAGTCTGCAACTTCCCGGTGGAGTCTTTCACACTGAACGGCACTGTTGTCTGGCAAAGTCGATGGTCGCCAAAAGGTTGCATTACCTTCTGCTTGTGCTAAGGTGAGAGAGTGTCCCCTGTACACTGTGGTATCTGAAGGAGAAGGCCGTCCTCTGGGAGGCCTGTGTGCTGACAACTCCATATAACCTGCCCGCTTGTCACTCAGGGAGACATGGCCATACAACACAGCCTGGCGTGGACAAGGAAGGGAGGTGGTGTAGGTGAAAGAAAGGCCACGGCCAAACGAGAAACCCCAGGACAATTTTTAAAGCAGTTTGAGATAGATGAAATATTGAAATTTGAGAATTTAAAAAGACAAATTTCAGCCCCATGCTTTGTTGCTTCCTGGCTGTAAGAACATTTTCAAGTCATTTAACATTTCCAAGCCTCAGTCTCCTTATCTGTGCGCATTTGCTCAGTAACAATTATTGACTATTATGTATTTTCCAGTCACTGTTCTAAGTGCTAAAGCGCTGGGGCCACAATATCAAACAAAGCAAGTGAGTCGGTGTCCTCAGGGAAGTTTATTGGATATTATAAACAATCATGGAATTCAAAGACAATCATATAACCAACACTTTTTGATGGCTTAGGATGTGCCAAGTACAGCGCTAAGGACAGAAAATAGAACCAGATGCAAACCAATCCCCATCCTCAGTCATTCACTCATTCACCCAACCAATATTTTTGAGTACCTATCCTGCACCAGGCACCAGGGATATAACAGATAAAAATTAAGTCTCTGGCTTCATGAAGCTTTCATTTTGATGGAGGGAGACAAGCAATAAGCAAATAAATGGCTTATTCTCCCATCTCCTTCAAGTCTTCACTCAAATGTTCCTTTCTCAATGAGACTATATGACCACCCTATTTAAAATTTCAACCATCATGCTGCATTCACTGCTTTTCATCTTGCTAAGATAGCTCATATGTGTTAATTTGACTGAAACACAGGGTTCTCAGATATTTGGTCAAACATTATGCTGGGTGTGTCTATGAGGGTGTTTTTGGATGAGATTAGCATTTGAATCAGTAGACTGAATAAAGCATATTTCTTTGCCTCATAGGTGATCGGCATCCAATCACTTAAAGTCCTGAATAGAACCAAAAGTCTGACTTGCCCATGAGTAAGAGAGAACTTCTTCTGCCTGATTGCTTTCCTGCCTTTGGAGTTGAACTGCAACACTGGCTCTTCTTGGGCCTCAAGCCTCCTGGCTTCTGAACTGTAACCACACCATCATCTCTCTCGGGCCTTTGCATTCAAATCAGAAACACCATGGGCTCTCTTAGGTCTCCGGGTTGCCAACTATGATCTTGAGACTTCTCAGCCTCCATAATCACATGAGTCAATTGTTGGTTCTGTTTCTCTGGGGAACCCTAATCCACCGCTCTATGTCTTTCTTCCCTTACACATACTGCTTCCCAACATATTAAGTAATTTATCAACTATATTTTTGGTTTATTATTTATTTCTCACACTGGAATGTAAGTTTCACAGAGATCTTGTTCATTACTAGATCTCAAGCCTGGCATCTACTAGGCATTCAGTAAATAGTTGTTGAAAGATGAAAAAAATAAATGTAATCTGCCAAGTGGAGGTAGATACTGTGAAGAAGAATAAAACCAAATAAAAAAACTTGAGGGAGACAATGGCACTTCTTTTTATAGAAGGTGGGATAATGGACATTACTACTGGGATATATTGTTTATCTTCCAAACTAGGATATCTTTTTTAATCCTGAGATCCTTGTGGATTCACATGAAGTTATAATACAGAGAAATCTCATGTACCCTCTACCCAGTTTCCTTAAATAGTACCATCTTGCAAAACAATGGTACAACATCACAATCAAGATATTCCTATTGATACAATGTACAAATCTTATTTGGATTTTCCCAACTTAACTTGCACTCGTTTTTGTGTATGTTTAGTTTTATGCAGTTTTTCACGTTTAGGTTCAGGTATCCACCACCACAACAGAGATACTAAACAGTTCCTTCACTACAAGGATCTCTCATGATGCCTTTTATTACCACATCCACTTCTGTGCCCTTTACCGTTACCTTTTTCCAATCTTGGGCAACCACTAATCTGTCCTCCATTTCTATACTTTTTGCAAAGTAGGACACTTTTGAAAGGAAAGGCAACACTATTAATAATTATAGCAGGACAACTGGTTAATGAGCACTGTCCCTGATGAAACACATGTGGCCATCTCTTTATTATAGAACAATCATGATATGGTTTGACTCTGTGTCCCCACCCAAATCTCATCTTGAATTGTAATAACCTCATGTCAGGGGAGGGGCCTAATGGGAAGTGATTGAATCAAGGGGGTGGACTTTCCCCTTGCTGTTCTAGTGATAGTGAGTGTATTTTTTTTTACATACAAGGCACACCAGTGAGTACTTTTTAATTAATCACAAGAGCTGGTTGTTTGGAAGTGTATGGCACTTTCCCCTTCACTCTCTCTTTGTCTTTCTCTACTGCTGCCCTGTAAGAAGTGCCTTGCTGCCCTTCCACCATGATTGTAAGTTTCCTGAGGCCTCCCCAGTCATGCAGAACTGAGAGTCAATTAAACCTCTTTTCTTTATAAATTACCCAGTCTCAGGTAGTTCCTTATAGCACTGTGAAAATGGATAAATACAAATCATAACAACTACATCTAACAGTCTTGGAATGGGTTCAGCATGCCAAGCACTGCACTGATCCACATTATTACTTTTAAAACTCAAAAAAATCATGAGGCCATGATTTTTTTTTTCTTTCTTTTACAGAGGAAGAAACAGGGGCAGTGAGGCATTAAGACACCTGTCTAGGGTCACAGGGTGTGCAGCTTTCAGAGTTAGGAATCATAACCAGGTCTGTCTTGTTACAAAGCTTGCCTTTTGTAACTCCTGCACATTAAACAAATAATTACAACTAATTTATTAAATAATTACAAGTGAGCAAAGTGTTGTGAAGGAGAAGTAGAAAGGGCTACTGAAGCATAAAATGGGAATTGGAAAATACCTACTTCACCCAGAATTATTGTAAGAATTAAAAAGTATTCATTGGTGCACTTTGTATATTAAAAAGGATCTTTAAAAATGTTCAGCATTATCAACCTTTATACCAGGAGAGAGTCTTATATAGACATTCATCACCTTGAATTTCCAAAATGTTAAGAGCCATCTCCTTAACAGTGCAGTATCTTTCCATATATACTTTGAAATACTGACATAGAAGAATGAATTTTAAATTTTTAAAACTCTACAGTTTCTGACTGCAACACAAGGAAGTATTCACCTGACACCATAAACTGTATAGCAGAGTTCGCCCCACAGAAGAAATTGTCTATTATTTCCCCCAGATGTTAGAGGACCCATCGCTAAGGGAAGGAGTTGTACAGATTCAGAATCAAGAGGGATGTCCTGGAAGAAAAACAAACAAAGGCCCACTAGGTGGAGTGAAATGGATCAAGAGCATTATATTCAATTTCACCTTAAGTTTTCTCAAAAGGAGGAGCATTAAGAATCAGCCACCTTAGTACATAATTAAAGGTAAATATTACATTGAAGAAAATCCTTGTTATCTTAATGTGGCAGTGAGAAAATACTATCAAGTATAGCACTTGGACTAAGTTAGAATATTAAATACACAGCATCTCTTGATAGAATTATCCTCAGACTTTCCAGTTCTAATCTTCTAGATTTACTGAGATCTGATCCTGTGCCCACTGGTGAAACATCAGAGGAATGGGATCCTATAGGTGAAGATCATCAGCTTATAAAAGCCCGTTGCCATCAGCGGGGTTGGCAGGGAAAGGATGAAGATTGGTTAAGAGGCCAGTGGACTCAGCATTGAAATGAATCATGGACTTGATGCCAAAAGACTCAGTTTGTGTCCCAGCTCTCTCAAGCAAAGCCCCCAAATCCCAGTTTCCTCATCTATCAAAAAGGATAAAAATACTTAATGGACAAAGTTGTGTGGGAATTAAATGAGATAAAGTATGTTCTGTATGTACCCTAAAGTCTTATATAAATAAAGGCAGTCTTTTTATCTGGAAACTGAGGAAAAAGATACCCTGAACAAGAAAAATAGGATAAAAGATTTTTTTTAAATGAAGGATAAAATTATGAAACCCTCCCAGGTATTCCTTCAGAGAGACCTTACACATGAGCTGGAGGCATACGTCCGGCCCTAAGGTCCATTTTGGAGCGGCTTAGCACTCAGCCTGGAAAACTGGACACTGAGAAATATGTGCATCCCATTTTTCTAACTAGCAGCATTTTGATCCTGTCTTATTATCCATACCCAGGCTAGCATATATGATTTTTTCTTCTTGCACTCCAGGAGAAGGTAGGCAGTGGACAAAAGGTGGGTCATTCTCACATTGACCAGGTCTTTGTTCCAATATGACCCTCCCAGATAGGCCTTTATTCACTCTAAATAGATCACGCTGTCTAAAATAGCTACCTTTCCTGCAAACAGCCTTTTACTATGCCATTTACCATCAAAGCTCTTCTCACTCCCTAATATGATTTTGCATGTTGGTTTGCTTGTTCATTGCATGTCCCTTCGCTACAATATAAATGCCTTGCCAGTTTTGATCACTGCCATATCTCTAAGGCCTAAGAATGTTCAGTACATACTAGGTGCTCAATAAGTACCTTTTTTATGCATGAATGAATGAATTCTATTCTTGTCTTATTCCATTGACTTTCTCCTATCTTTGCTGTCTTGGACAGCTCTGAAAGTTCTTCTGCTATTTTGCACACTATTGTTTTTCTCTCTGTCATTTGAATCTTTTTGTTACTTAGTTTGGTTTCTCCAAAAGTAGAGCTTGAGACAAGGGGTTGGATACCAGTAGCCTATTTAGAAGGTGATCCCAGGATTGGAAAGAACAGGAAGAGTTAAGGTGAGAAACAAAGAAGAACCAACAAAAAGTGCCTTACCTGGCTTGCTGATATGGGCAGTAGGCGCTCAATTCTTTCTGGATGTCCTGAGAGATATGCAGAATACCTCCCAAAATATGGAGGATGGAACATTAATTTACACAAACTGAAAAGTTTGAAAAAAAAATTAGTCCTTGCCCTTGAGAAAACTTAATCTGAGTGAAAATGAAAACAAGAAATGATTGTGATGTATTCACTGTATAGAAGGGAATTAAATTTTATTGAGTGCCAAACATGAGCCAAGGCCTATACCTGGCAATTTATACATATCGTCTTATTTCATTATGGCAACAGGAGCTGCCATATATCAGGCTGCTACCATTTAACCAGGCTCTTCACACATATGCTCTCACCAGTTGTTACAACTAGTCAATACAAGCTTTTATTTCCATTTAAGAGATGAGAAAAGTTCAGACATAGAGAAAAGAAATAGCTTGGCCTATGTAACACCATCAATTCATAGCAGATCTTTCTGACTCTATAGCTTGTCTTTTAGAGAAACAATTACATGCAAGGAAAATACAGCACAGTATAAATTTAAGTGAGTGACTATATGACACTTTTTGGTGAAAAGTTACAAGAATTTAGAGAAGGCAATGAGCAACATGAGGACCATAGCCAGTAACATTATATTGTATACTGGAAATTTGCTAAGAGAATAGATTTTAGGTACTAGTACTGTAAAAAAAGAAAGGTAATTATATGAGATGGTAAATATGTTAACTTACTTGACTGTAGTAATCATTTCTCTATACATACGTATATCAAAATGTCATGTTGTATATCTCAATTTTATATATCATATAAATAAACAAAAAGTTAGAATTCAGAGAAGTGAATGATGATGTGAGCTACACTTAAATTTAACAAGATTTTATTAAGTAGTTTAGGTTTTTTACAATTTTTCAGAGAAAACAGGGAGGAGAAAATGGATTCCTCTAGGCCAATGAAACAGCTGGAGGGAAAGGCATGAAGATGAGGTAACTGGCTTCATGGAACTTGAATTATTTTTCGTTAAAGAGCTGAACCCCCATATTATCTCTCATAAATAAGCACTGTGCCATGGAATTATGGAACATGAAAGGTATGGATTTAGAACATGATCCAGGTTAAACAAAAAAGAAGAAGAAAACTAAAACAAAGAACAAAATTTGGATTGTTGGGATGATTCTGAGGCCCTAGAACCTTAGAAACTATAAACATTTTCCAAGTGTATTTGAAAAGACGTATATTCAGTGTGTGCAGCCTGCCAACAGTGGAATGCCAATAACATTTAATTTCCTTGACTTCTAACCTTCTTAACCTGTTGTGCTGCTGGAATGGGACTGTAAATCAAAATATGCCCAATTGTATGGGGAACATGTGTATTTAGTCATTCCAACCTGCCTGCTGATTTTTTAAAACACCCCTCACAATAGTATTTATGCTGGTCTTGTTTTTCCTAAGTCTTTTTTCTCAACCATTCTGCAACTGGTTAATATAGGCATCAAACACAGCACACAAGAAAGAAGAACGCAGAAAAGAAATTCAGAAATGGATAAGAGGCCAAAATATCCCTGACATTCCTCCCATCCCAACTGTTCTAAATGTTCTTCCATTTTCAGCAACAATAACAACAACAACAACAACAAAAAAAAACAGTGGAATATTGCCTTGGGTCTAGTAAATCATTAGCAAATTAAGAACCTGTTTTTAATAACATTTAACTTGTAAATAATGCATTAATTGACTAGCCTGAATGTTAGTTTGAGCATTTGAAACTCTGCTACTAAATCTGTAATGAAAGAAATGTGCTGCAACAGTAGGCTATATGGTGAATATAACAGATTAAATATGACAGTTGATATTTGTGAAAATGGGGTTATAATTAGAGGACACCTGCAGCTGTTTTCCAACCAAAACAACAGAAATTAAACTTGCATAAACTGTGTGTGTGTGTGTGTGTGTATCACATTTTCTATTGACATGTTTCTTTTGTTTTCCTTGAGTCTTGTGCTAGGATACCCCATTTTTGGGGTCATATGTCAAGAAAGCAACAAGTGGCCTTTTGTTGGATATACTTTATTGGATCTCAAAGTGATAGATTTTGGGGAGGAAAAGAATAAAAAGATACGGAGATCTGTTTTTTCTAGGAGTTTACTAAAATTCGTGAGTGATGGCACAGCGTATTATAACTGCTCAGAATTAGAGGAAGCCATGTGAAAAGGAACCAGTAGAGATTTTAATCTTACCTGCCTTGCCTGCGACTATGGAGTAGGATTTCTGAGATGAAAACAGGAAGAATGTGGCACCCTGCCAGATATACATTATTAAAAATATGTATAGCAGTGAGTCAGGTAGAGAAGTTGCTAGAAATAAGGATTAAACCAAAGAGAAACTAAATATTTGCAATGACTAATGATTAACAAAGTGCTGTCATTTCACTAGTTCATTATTTCTCATGCATTCAACAAATATAGATAAGCACTTTGCAGAGGCTATACTACACTAGGCCCTGGGATACACAGCTGAGTAAAACATAAATCCTATGCCCTCAAAAGGCTGAAAATCTGGTTTGGGGAAAATATCTGTAAATCAAAAGAAAGAGAGATCATGCAAGTCAAGGAAAGAGATGAAGTATTAGGAAGCAAATCTTGGTACATTCTGTCAAATGCAACCAGGAAGTTAAGAAAGATAAAGACAGAAGCATTTCCATTGAATTTGTCAATCAAAGTTCATTAGTGACCTTGGCAGAAATTTTTTTAGTGGAGTGTTGGGAACAGAAACCAGATTAGAGTGAGCTACAGGATGACTAAGAAACAGAATGTAGAAGTGAGTGTAGACTGCTCTTTTCAGGAGTCTGACCGTGAGAGACTAGAGACAGAGAAAGAGAGGAGGGAATTGGGGGTGGTGGGGGAGAGGAAGGATGTAAAGAGTTGGCTTTCAAAGACCTGAGCAAGTTGCATATGCTGAGTAGTGGTCACAGCCATTGTACACAGAAAATCTTGGCACATTAACATACATGAGTGCACCTTAGTTATACATTTTTTCCCTATCAGAAGTTGAAATTCTCTTTTAATATTCCAAATATTAAATTCTCATTTCATATGCTAATTAGCCTGCATTTTACAATAGATTGTATTAGAGCTTGGATACACATCCAACTCAATTCCATATTATGGAGCTGTAGTTGACTCGGTCAATAACTTGCATTGTTCTGCATGAGAATTTTCACAATTTAATATCTTTTTCTAATAGGGTTTGTTTGAATTATATGAAGTTACCACCTTTATTGGTCAAAACCAGCTGAATATTGGCAATTTCATGTGGTTCAACCTAATAGTCGACAGGGGACTGAGGAGATCATAGCATGTGAATATAATGTTGAATGAGACATAAGGTAGGAAGAAAGAAACAAACACGATAGCTGAGACAAAGGGTATTGAATGAGTAGAAAAAAAGAAGTAATCTTTTTGTCTGTGTTAGGTGTGTGTTCCCAAGGGAAATAATTTTTGAGCATGTAGCTTGAAAGTAATAATAACACTTTTAGGGAGTACAGATGGCTCAGGGGATCAATTGGGATTTAGGGAGCGGGGCTTTTACCAGCAATCTGTCCAATTTAGTCAGACTAACTTGCAATTTTTACACTGTTAAACATCTTACAAATCTGAGACCAACGGACCAAAGAAAAGCTCTTTCAATTGGGTGTCTGGGTAACCCGTGGCAAGTCTTTTATCCCCATAGTAATGTGATTCCTCCATCTCTAAAATGAAGGCATGGATTACCCACTCATTCTCAATCCAATGTGGGAAGTGCAGAATTCTGTGTCAGAGTAAAGACAGTCCCAGTCAGCAAGGGAAAGTAATTTTTCCAAACTGCCTGTGCTAAAAATAAACCCAGGGTAGTCTCAGGGGAGAGCTTCCCAGTCCCCTTCACGGACACTAAATTCACTGTGGTGGGAGGTGAAGATGGACTGAAAACAAATACCTGAAGAAAGAAAAACACCCTAATGAGGGCACCAGTGGTGAGTTGATGGGAACTGAGCTA